CTTGTAAATATTTGAGGCAGGCAGCTATGCCAACATTGTGAGGGATGTTAGTATATAGGGAAGCGACATCCATGGCAAGGATGATGTTCTGAGTGAGGTTGTTAATATTGCGGAGTTTGTGGAGGAAGTCAGTTGTGGTCCTGGAGGAAGCTGGACCTTTGTGTGGTGAGTGGTTTGAGGATAGTTTCTATGAGTTCTGATCTAAGTTCCCTCTAAACTGCGTGGCTGTCCAGCTGCCTATTAAGCACTGTGCAGGTGCTCAGGGCTGTGGTGGGGGGAGATGCCCAAGCCCCAGACCTGCTGTGGCATCCCGCTCCCCCAACCCAGTCCCCCAACCCAGCCTTGGACTGCCACAGACTGGAGAAAGGAGCCCCTCCCCCAGCCCGACTCTGCCGCAGCTGGGGGACAGGCGCCCTTCCCCCAGCCCCTCCCCAGCCCGACCCTGCCATGACCAGGGGCCCCTCCCCAGCCTAGCCCCGGACCTGCCGCGGCCAGGGAACTGGTGCCCCTCCCCCTCAGCCCAGGTGCTGCTGCAGGGAGAGAGAACTGGGGGGGGGGGAGCCCCACTGCATCCCAAATCTCTCATCCCCAGCCCCACCACAGAGCCTGCACCCCCAGCTGGAGCCCTCACCCTCCCAGCACCCCAACCCTCTGCCCCAGCCCTGAGCCCCCTCCCACACTACGAACCCCTCAGCCCTATCCCACCACATGAATTTTATGCGCACCAATATGGAGGTAATATGTCACACATCACCTCCATATTCGTGTACATAACAAAGTTCATTCTGCACATGGGTGGGAAAAATTAGAGGGAACACTGGTCCTGATATTCCTTCAGTAAGAGTGTCGTGGCCAAATATGATGCGTCTGTCTGAGATCCCTTTTTGTGTATCTTGGGAAGCATGTTGAAGGTCCGTGTGGTGGGTTTGTGGGGGATAAGTTTGTAGAGTTTCTCTTGGAGTTGTTTGGGAAAGGATTTGATGATATCTTTAAGTTCATGGATAAATTCTGATGTGGGGTCTTCTTTAAGTTCTTCATAGTAGGTGGTGTCAGAGAGTTGTCAGTTGGCCTCCTTAACCGTAGTCATCATGGTTGAGGACTACAATGGCGCCCCCTTTGTCTGCTGGTTTGATCACTATCTGGTGGTTAGATTTCAGGGACCATATGGCTGTCTTCTTGGTAGTGGAGAGATTATGGTGAATGCGATGTTTGTTAAGGACTTCATAGTCAATTTTTTCCCCTGAAGCAATCAACGTAATGATCAAGAGTGTGGTTTCGTCCATTCTGTGGTGTCCAGTCAGATGATTCTTTTTTCTTATGACTGTTGGTGGGAATGTGGTATTGTGAGTGGTGTCATCATTGTTGTGAAAGAATTCTTTGAGGCAGCGACAGTGAAAGAATTCTTCTAGTTCTCCACATGTTAGCAGGTATCAGGTTCTGTAGTGAGGCAGAAGTTCAGTCCCTTAGACTGAGACTTTGAGAGTACAGATAATTCAACGACAGTGAGAGGTAGTCTTGATTAAGTTGATGATGTTTGGGTATCATACAGTGTCCATGTGGTGAGTACTGGTACCATGGTTTCTCCTGGAGGTGGTGTTCTGTGGGTTGTCGAGTAGTTGTTGTTGGTTCCACTTTTTGTTTTCATGTTGGACGGCTGTCATCAGGGGTTTTTTTCTAGTTGTTTTTAATTTCTTGCATGATTTCCAGCTAACTTTCCCTTTTTTTCCTCCAGTGTGTGGCAGCATGTGATGATTTCTTGTTTGAGGTGGTCACTTCTTGGGTGTGTTAGGTGCAGTAAATGATTCCTCAGTTTTCTCTGAAGTCTGTCTGCAGAGCTGTTCAGCATATCTAGAGTTGTATGTACTGGTCAGAGGATTATATATGGTGAGACTGCTGGGGATGATGTTTTGTTTTTTGCATTTTCCCAGGAGTAAATGTAGCTGTTAAGTTTTGCTTCCTTTTTTTCATGTTGTGAAGATTCCATTTCAGCTGGCTAAATGAGATCTCTTCTATTGTTGTATGCTGTGTAGTTGTAACCATGTTGGTCCCATGATGTTAGGGTGACAAGAGACAATATATGTTTTATTGGGCATTGTGTGAAGAAGTACTTCCTTATGTTTGTTTTAAATCTGCTGCATATTAATTTCATTGGGTGTCCCCTCCTTCTTGTGTTATGTGAAGAGTAAATAGCATCTCCTTATTAAGCTTCTCCACACCATTAATGATTTTATAGACCGTTAACATATCCCCCCTTATTGTCTCTTTTCCAAGCTGAAAAGTCCCAGTCTTTTTAATGTCCCTTCATCTGGAAGCTGTTACATACCTCTAAGAATTTCTGTTGCCCTTCTCTGTACCATTTTAAATATATCTTATTTGATATGGGGCAACCAGAACTACCTGCAGTATTCAAGGTATGGGCATATCATTGATTGATATAGTGGCATTATGATATTTTCGGTCTTCTTATCTATCCTTTTTCCTAATGGTTCCTAACATGCTGTTAGCTTTTTTGACTGCTACTGCACATTGAAGCAGATGTTTTCAGAGAATTATCTAATGAGTTCAAGATGTCTTTCTTAAGTGGTAAGAGTTAATTTAGACCCTGCCATTTTGTATGTGCAGTTGGGTTTATGTTTTCCAATGCGCATCACTTGGGATTTATCAACACAGAATTTCATCTGCCATTTTGTTGTTACAGTTCATACTATTCCTTTATTTTTGGACTTTAATACCCCAGAAGGGGTTGACTTAAAATGTGACCAGGCCAGAGGGTCAAGTCAGGGGAAGAGGCGGACCACAACAAGACAACCAGAGTGGCTGTGATCATGTGGTGCCAGATGTGGGGGAGAGGGTAGCTGCTACACCACACCCACCCACCAGGAAACACTCCAGCAGTGAGTCCACTTTTTTACAAGCACATACTTAAGTAGATTAATAGAGAATAGCCTTCTCCCACAATGAAAAATCAAAGCCTTTTTTAGGGACTGTTCATGAACTTTTGCCATTGCAGCCACTCTTTTAGACCTGAACAAAAGGAAAATGCCATGTAAACTGACTTTTATGCCCATGATCACGAGTTCTGTTCTTGACAAATGTGATGCATATAATTTGGGGGAAATGCAACTTGAAACCAATGTAATGAAAGGGGACGGGGCATCACATTGTTTACATCACTAAAAACTATTAGTAAAGGAAATATTTTATGCTACTGTAGAGATAATAGATTACAGCATGGGCACTCCAAAAACACCAACTTTGTGTGAAGTTTGGGTCAACTTTTTTTAGTTGAAGCCAAGAGAAGTTTTGTCATTGAGTTCAGCGGGACCTGGATTTCACCATTTATGTAGATAAGAACATGATGGGGGGTGGGAGGAAGGAGAATGTACCTTGTTTTCCTTTACTGATTAAAATGGATGAATAGGGCTAATGTCAAATTATAGGCAACAATACTCCTACAAGACTATGACACTACAGAGGTTAAAAAAAATACCAGCATCATGGGTTCTTCTGCAGAAAGAGACCTAAATTCAACAGAACCTTCTGGTAGCCTGGAGCCACTAACCAGAAGGAGTATGGAAAAAAGGAGGGAGGTGAGAAGGGCAGGTGCCTCAGGACACTGTGCTGATCGCATGCTGCTACCAAAGATATTTCGGAGGCAACTTTGTATTTGAAAGGAGAGAGTTAAATTAACAGCTGCGTTGGCTGTATACTAGCTGCACAATTATAATATGGTCTAAAAGGGTGGCACTGGCTGCTCACCGGGCATAGGACACACCCTGTCCTGTTACTGAAAACCACTGGTTGCAGCTGCTATCAGTCAAGTACCTCCCCTGTCCGCCTCCTCCTTGTTGCTATTGCAAAGCCCTGGGTTCAGCCTGCAGCGCCGGACCCCGAGGGCGGGGACCGGGGCAGGGCCCAGTCCTGCTCTGCCGGACAATGTGCAGGCCAATGATCCACTGGGCTGGACCGCATGAGGGGTACCCAGGGCCCCAGCCGCCTTCTCCCTTAAGCCCTGGCCTTCCCCGCCTCTGCGCTGCGGCGGTCGGTCCCTCCTCCGAGGCCGGGCGCCTCCGCCCCTGCCCCCGCTTGTACTCCCAGCGGCACCCGAAGTGCGAAGCACCAAAACGCATTCCCTCCCCCCGCTGCGGTGGGAGGCTGAACCGCTCGCTCGCTGATTGGCTGGCGGTGATGTAATGGGCGAGCACATACGGGCATTTTTCATCACCTCTCCGACCCCTGTCTCCCCTTGCAGCTACCTGGGGAGGCCACCCTCTCCACCTCCCGCGCAGCCAATCACAGGGCACAGCGCTCTGCCGTTGGGGGTGGGGGGAAACGCTTGCTTGTTTTGTCAAAGCCGACTTCGCTCTCGCCGTCTCCTTCGCCTCGTCCCTTCGGAGGAGTGATTGGCAGGCATGCAGCCCAATGAGAGCAGGGATATTACAGCTACGTACGTGCCCGCCCTTTAGCCAGGCCGCTGTGAGGTATGGAAGGGAGATGGGATGTAATTGGACTGACAGCATCAAGAGCCTATGAAGTGTGGGCCACCAACGTGCTGTGTGGGAGGAGGTTGGTGTTCGTGAAAGAGGCTGCGGCGGGAGGGGCGGTGGGTTTAACTGACAGCGACGCCCGTCAATCATGCCCAGGCTGCAGTGCCCGGGTAAAAAAGTGCGCAGAAGTAAGGAGGATGACAGGAGAGGCACTTGATTGACCGTAGCCGCGGCCAATAGCTTTCAGTACTAGGCTAGGGCACACGGCTATTGCCATCTGGGCGGGCGGAGAGAGGATGGGGCAACTGGTGAGTGGCAAAGGGGTTAACCAATGCCGCTTAGCATATGTGCAGCAGGCAGGCGTGTTGGCCAATGGGAGTCAGGAAGAGGTGGGATTAACTGAATGACAGACATGATAGCCAATAGAATTGGGCTGCCAAAGTTGGGTTCCGAGGCCGGGCTGTTGGGGGCGGATCATTTCACCCCGCACCCCGCCTTTTGCCTGCTGACGTGAGCGGCGGGAGGGGGAGGGCCCAGCATCGGGCGCTGGGAGAGGGGTTCCCAACATGTCGGTGCTGCTGGTTGCGTTCGGACTACGCGAGCGGGCGGCTGTTGCGGCGGGGGGAGGCCAACCCGGAGCGCCCGCAGCGTGAGACCCTGCCAGCCACACCCCACACCGGGCCAGGCCGGCCCTCGGACACCGGGGCACAAACGCTGCCCGCGGCCAGGTACAGGCCAGGGCCCGACTCGCCTCGGGGGCATTGCGAAGTGGGAGGCCTCTCCGCAGCGCCGGGAGCCCTCTGTCTGCGCGTACGGGGGGGCAGGCGGGGCCTCTGCGTGTGTAGGGGGGAAGGGGACCGGCAGGCGGGGCCTGTGCGTGTGGGGGACGGGCAGGTGGGGCTGTGCTCGTGTGTACAGGGGGTGAAAAGGGAAGGCGGGCCTGTGTGTGAAGCGGGGAGGCGGGGCCTGCGTGTGTATTGTGGGAGGGGAACGAGGAAGGGGGCAGGAACGTGTGTCTGTGTTATAGGGGCCAGGCGAGGTCTGTGAGTGTGTATTGTGGGGGGAGTATGGGGAGCGGGCAGGCGGAGCCTGTGCACGCATGTACCGCAGGGGGTAGGGCAGAAGGTGGGGTGTGTGTTTTGTGGGAGGGATATGGGGAAGGGTGCAGGATGTGTGTGTGTTAGGGTCAGGCAGGGCCTGTGTCTGGGGAAGGCGGGGCCTGTACGCGCACGTGCGTGTACTGGGGAGATATGGGGGTGATAGGCAGGGCCTTGACCTGTGTGTGCTGGGACGGTGGGGGGCATGCGTGCGAGCCTGTATTGGACGGGAGTAGGGGCACAGGTGGGGAGTTTCTATATGCACACGTGTATGTGTGGGATAGGGGATCTGTGTATATTGGGGGTGGGTAGGGTGGCATGTGGGCCTGCGTTCCTATATTGGGGGTGCTGTGGTAAATGCTGTGCGAGCATGTGTGTATGTGCAGTGGGTGGGTCGGGTAGCAGCTGGGGGGGCTTATGTGTCTGTATTGGCAGGTAGGGTGGCAACTTGGGGGGGGGGCCTGCCTGTACTAGGGGGGCAGGTAGGGTAGCTACTTGGGTGGGGCCCACCTGTACTGGGGGGAGGCCTTCCTTGTGCCTGTACTGGGTGGGGTAGGGTGGCAACTGGGGGGGCTTGCCTGCGCCTGTACTGGGGGGGCCTGTTTGTGCCTGTACTTGATGGGGGGGTAGGGCAGTAGGCGGGAGAACTTACCTGTGCCTGTACTGTGGGGTGCTGCCTGCGCCTGTACTCGGGAGGGAGGTGGGCAGGAGGACCACCTGTACTCAGGAGGAGGGCCTGCCTGTGCCTGTACTGGGGTGGGGTGGAAGGGCCTGCTTGTGTGTGTACTGGAGCGTGGGTCTGGTGGCAAGCGGGTGGGCCTGCGTGCGCTTATATTTGGGGGCGGGTAGGGTGGCAGGCAGAAGGGCCAGGGAGTAAACAGAGCTGTTTGTGCATGTGCTTAGAGGATAGGGGGGAAGTGGCCTGCGTGTGCACTGGGGAGGTAGTAAGAAAGGTGGCAGGCAGGGCCTGTGGGTGTATTGCGGGGAAGGTGGGAGGGTCTGTGTGTTGGTATTTTGTGGGGGGGGGGGGAGCTGGGGCCTGTTCCTGCTTTTTTGAGGGGGTGATGAAATGGGTAGGCAGCGGGAGGGCCTGTGTGCGCCTCTACTGGGGGGCGGGCAGGGCAGCAGTTGGGAGGCCTAGTACAGGCAGGCGTGTGTATGTGCATTTGGGGACTGCAGGAGCAGGTGTTGCCTGTGCATGTGTGTACGCATTGGAGGGGTGGGGGAAGTGTAGGCATGGTTAGTGCATGCCTGTACTTGTTTGGGGAGTCAGGGGGTGGGGGAGGAGGTGGAGCCTGTGGGGGTGTGTGCATGCGCACATTTGGGGAGGCTGTGATGGGGGAATGTGGCACCTGTGTGTCAGTGTGTGTTTGGAGGGGGCAGTGAGAGATGGGGCCTGTGCACATGTGTCTGTGTTTTGGAGGAAGGAGGAGGGGGTGCTGTGGTGGTGGGAGTCAGGGCCTGTGCATGTATTTTGGGTGTGGGACTGTGGTGAGAAGTGGAGCCTGCACATGTTTTGGTGGAACAGTAGTGGCTACAGGCAGGGTCTGTGTGTGTCCATGCATTTCAGGTGCTGCTGGTGGCTGGCAGCATCTGTGCATGTGTATACGTAGTGGGGGTCGTGGCAACCTGTGCATGTGCGTGTTGGGGGGCGGTTAGGGCCTGTGTGTGTGGCGGTGGGGTAGCAGGCAGTCAGAGCCTGTGTGTATGTGTGGGAGGAAGAAGGGGCATTTGATAGTGAGGCTTGAATGTTTGTTGGGAGGGGAGGTTGGCAGGTTAGGCCTGTAAGTGTACTGAGGTGTGGATAGGGGGAAAGTGGCACACCTGCCAGCCTGTGTTTTTACTAGGGGTGGACGGGTAGGAGGAAGGGTCTGTGTATACTGGGGGTGAGAGTTTAGGAGGAAAATGGCAGGCTGGTTGGCTGGCCCGTGTGTGTATGGGTGGGGGTTAAGGGGAAGGCAGCAGGCAGGCATGTCTGTTTATAGGCAGGGAAAGTGACTGCCTGGTTGGTAGACAGGCTGACTTCTGATGTTTTGGAGGGTGGAGGAAAGTGGCTGGTGTGTAGGAATGCCTGTGAGTGTATGGGGGTGAGGTGGCAGGGAGGTTGGCAGGCATACCTGCAAGTGCATGGTGGGGGAAGGGGGCTGGCAGACATTGGGAGAGAGGAGGAGTAAAGTGGCAGACAGGCACAATAAAAATCAAAGATTTTATTTAAATTGGATAATTTTTGTTTTTAATTTTATAATTTTTACTTTTAAAAAGCAAACCTTTTTTAAAATAAAATCTGAATTTAATACAAAATGGTAAGGCCTGAATTTTATAACCTGTTAAAACATTTAAATGAAATAAATATGCTGAATCTATGAGCTTCTATCAAAAACTTTGAGTTAAGAGGTTTTTTTTTCTGTATAAAGAAAGAATCGGGAAAACAATTTAACCTTTGAGGTCAAGCTTTATAAATATGGCACAATGGGTCATGTAGTGTATTAAGGGCTTGTTTTGTTTAGTAAGCATACATTTTATATCCTGTTTGGTATATTTAAATTCCAGTTACCATCCTAATGCAGCTTGCATGAGCAGACACTTAATTATATAGTAAATAAGCAGTATATCATTCACAGTTTTCTAGCATACTAAGTGTACAGTTAATAAGAATCTGAAAATATTACGCTATGTGATTGCGTAAATAAATGTATATAGCTACAGTGTACCCTCCTAGGTAGCAAAAAGAGTACCAAATCTAGTGTAAAGGCTCTGTTTAGTTGTAAATCAACATGTATTAGTGGTTATATCAACCAGTGAGAGTGCACCTTTCTTTAGAAAATTACTGAAGTATAAATGAAAAGACTGATTAAAATTTATTTAAATTTAGGGTTTCTACTTGGTGATTTACATAATTTAAGTCACCGACTTAAATCAATCCGCCCTACGGGCAGGCTTCTGTTGTATGAGGTGAGGGAAAGGAAAGTGGCAGGTAGGCTTGTGTGTGTATGCGGGTGGAAAGGTAGCAGGTAGGCCTTTGTGTGACTTGGGGTGTAGGAAGTGACAGGCCTCTGTAACTATTCCGTGGGAGGAAGAATTGTTGGGGGGGGTACTGATATGTAGGCAGGCCGGCCTGTTTCTATTCGGGGGGTGGTGAGTCAGGTCTGTGTATGTATTGGGGGGCCAGAGGCCATAGGAAGACAGGCAGGCATGTGTCTTTATTTCTGGGGTTAGATGGCTAGCTGACAGGAAAGCAAGGCAATCTTGTGTGGTTTTGGGGTTTTTTTCGGGAGGTGGTGGCAGTTAGGCAGGCAGGGTTTGTGTATGTTTTCTTTGGGGAGTGCATTGTGTATCGAGAGAGGAAAGGTGACAAGCAGGCAGGTCTGTTTGTGTATTGGGGTAGTAGACAGGTGATTTATGTATTGGGGGCAGATGACCGCTGAGTATATTGGGGCAGAGGCAGAGATGATGACAAAGCAGGCCTGTGCATGTCTGGGTTGGAGTGGAGGTGGCAGAGAGGCAGACTTCTGCGTTTTTTCTGGGGCGATGTGGCTGGTAGATAGGCATGTCTGTGTATTGGCAGTGGTAGGAAGTCATGCCTGTGTTTGTACTGAAAGTGATGGAGATGGCTGGTAGGCAGGCCGGTCTGTGTGTGTGTGGGTGGTGGGATGCCGGAGGAAGGCCTCTGTGTATTGATGAGGTGGCAGGCAGGCCTGTGTGTATTCTTGATTGGCTGGCAGGTAGGCTGGATGGGTGATGTGTCTTTTGGGTGGTGGGCTGGGCTGTGTGTGGTTATCAGGGGATAGTAGCCAGGCTTATTTTGGGGAATGGCAAGGAAGCAGCTGTGGGCTGTGCTGTGCACAAGCCTTGTAGGGGCAGGAGAGAGGAATTGGTGGGTGGACAGGGTTGTGCGGGCATTGATATAGGGGTAAGGTAGACAGGGCTGTGTGAGCATTTGGGGCTGGGTGGAGAGGGAGGACTAGATGTGCATTTAGGACTGATGGAGGGGATGTAGTGGATAGGTGGGCATTGTAGTTGGGGGAGAGGGGAGACAGAGGGTAGGCTGGGCTGTGTGTGGGCATTTGGGATAGGAGTGTGCTGTGTGTGGGCATTTGGTGCTGGGGGGAGGGGACTGGCATTTGGGGTGGGGAGGCAGGTGAGCCTGTGTGTATTTTGGGTGGACATTGAAGACAGGTTGGTGTATTTTTTTTTTTTATTGGGCTGAGGACATCTGGCAGGCAGGTAGGGAAGCTTGTTTGTGTATTTGGGGAGGAGGCAGGCAGTCTGGTGGGGCCTGTGTGTGTATTGTGAGACGGGGTGGCAGCAGGGGAGTCGGAGGTGGGTCTGAGTATGCCAGAAAACATGCACAGGCCTGCCAGCCTCCCCCTCAATACAGTCTGTAGTGGGTGGGCAGTGAGACTGGCTGGGCCTGTGTAGGGGATATGTGTGGCTGGTGGACTTATGCATGTATTCTGTGGGGGGCAAGATGTGGTAGTATGGGTCTGTGTGCGCGCTTTTTAGGGAGGAAGTTGGGAGGTGGTCAGATTGCAGCCAAGCAGGTGGGTCTACTTCTGGTGGATTGAGGTTTGTGGTTCTTTTTCATGCCTGATGCGCGTATGGCCAACCATCCAAGGGAGCTGAATTCCATA